TTCCATATAAGCTTCAAATGGTTTGGGCCATGTCAGGTTTTAACTAAATGAGTTGAAATTTTGAAAGGCTAATCAGGCCCCAATTTGGAACCTTTTGAGCCCTGTGGAGAGAAAATTACAAATTTTGCATCAATCTAATGAATAAGTATGTATTCATTTATCTATGAGCAAAAATTCTCAAATTTTCTGATTCATCGGATTATTTCTGCGTTTCATCATTTTTTGGAACGATAAAAAAATACTCGTTCTTTTACAAGTGAGGTATGGAGGACCACCAATGGAGTAATACGGACCATGACGGATTTGTCGACCCATGAATGGTACTATCATAGAGATAACTCTAAGGCTAGTAGGTGCCGAAGAAATGTGCTCAACTTTTTGGCTCAGCTCTGGTACTCTCTTCGGTCCCAAGCTAATCGATGCACCCCTCGAAACAAAGGAAATCATTTATCTGTCAAACTTTCATAGCGAATCAAAACAATCATTGTGTAGTACTAGAATTTCAACTAGAATGGGGTACGTTAATCGATTTGCTTGGGACCAATAGGCTAGTCAAGACTAGTGGTCCCAACCAAATCGATTAACGTACCCCATTCTAGTCGAAATTCTAGTACTATACTATGTTTGTTTTGATTCGCTATGAAAGTTTGACAGATAATATGAGGGGTTCGTGGATTTTCCTATGTTTCACGGGATGCATCGATTAGCTTGAGACCGAAGAGAGTACCAGAGCTGAGCCAAAAAGTTGAGCACGTTTCTTCGGGACCTACTAGTCTTAGAGTTACTTCTATGGTACAACTTTATATACTCTGAAGAAGGCCAAGTTCAAAGACTTAAACGTCGGACACAAAATATCGTAGCGATTTGATTCACCGCAATTCTTAATTAATTTTTTTTTTGTTATAATAAGAGGAACCTAGATTGTGTGTACATTCCAATATTATGACTGTGGGTACTCCTTCAAGGGAAGCATGAATTTAAAAAAAAGGAAGATGAGCGGACATATAAATAATCAGTGTGTAAAAAGTGCTAAATTTACCATGACAGCACTGTTTCACTTCACTCTAACGTGACAGCAAAGATATTCAAAACAAACACAATTCATCTACACTGGGTTGAAGCGCTAATCAGTGCGAATGATGGCCAGTCCACATCATACACTTGCCGTGCGGATCTATTTGCTTTTTGCTGAAGGAAGTGTTACTGCTACCTAAAGCTACAAAAAATTCAAACAGCACATCTCAGTGCTCATTATTATTTTCAAATTGTCTACCTTGTTCGACTCTTAGTCCTCTTCAAATTTTGTTTGGAACCTGCCCGAGGTAATCTTGACTTGGAAAATTTATCTTCATCCTTCGAATTCTTACAGTCATCTGCTTGAAAATCTATTTGAAAAAAAAAAAACAATATAAATTTCTATTCTATTATACCTAAAACTAAGGACCCTACTCGAGATAATCATGCTTGGATACCGATTTGGAAAATTCCTCTTTGATCCATCGGAACCATATAGCAATCTGCTTGGAAGTCGATTTGGAGAAACGTTTTACTGTCGCCATGGCGCCTAAACGCAAAAGAAAAGGGCAATCTCTTGATCCCCCTTCTGGTGAAATTAAATTGCGCAATCCATTTGATATGCTCACGGATGATGAGAATGATCCATCATCCAGGCGAAATTCCAGTAAACTTTCCCGGCATAATGCCAAGAAGGAAAAGGTCTCCCCTATTGTGGTAACCACTTCCGATTTCCATGCTCTTCGCATGGAACATTCGAAATTCGTTAAATTCAAATTTTCACTTCAAATTGGCATCACAAATTGTTCTCCAAAACTGAACGCCTGTTCAAGGTTGTCTTGAAAGGTCTGGCCAGTGGTTAATACCTGGATCAGATCAAAGAGGAATTGACAAAATTACTTGGAGTTGAGCCAGTTCAAGTCATCAAACTGGAAATGAAATCCCGTCCTGGCGATTGGCGCAACGGAATTTCCGACACGTTTCAAATTAGTTATTTCTAAGTGTATAGTAAACTAAACACCCATAAGGCCTTAGAAAAAGCTAGCCGTATGCTCCATGTCCGAGTGAAGTTGGAACACTTCAGGAAGACTGGAGGAAATTTCCAAAACCTCACCCAGTGTCGTAAGTGCCAGGGATGGGGTCACGGAACTAAAAATTGCTACATGCCAGCTAATTGCATGAATAGGGGTGATTTCTCTCACGCAAAGGACGAATGGCTTTGGAAAGAAGATCCTAAGAAATTTAATTGCTCGAATTGGGGTGAAAACCACAAATCCATTTTTTAGGAATGCAAGACTCGCAAAGAGATCCTACAATCTCGTTCAGGCGACAGGGAGGAAACGCTCCATGTTCCCGACCAGGTAAAAATTTATCTGCCATTAACAACGGTCTAGAGTCTGTTTTAGTGCTTAAAGAAGGTGGTAAAATTTTGATCACAAATTTGGAAAAAGCTCAGAAACTTGCCAAGCAATTTGAGAGTTCCCATAATTTCAGTTTGCGTCTTGCTAGTGCTATTGAGAGTCACGTTTCTCGGGATTATCTGAATATTTTCTCTCGAGAAAATATGTTTGATGATTCCTGGGGGACTGATTTGGACGAAGTGAAATGTATAACAAAAACGATTCAAACAATGAAAGCTCCAGATGATGATGGAATTTTCTATATCCTCATCAAAAAACTCCCAGAGAGAACTTTGTCTTTGGTAAAATTATTTAACAGATGTTTCCATTTGGCATACTTTCCTGATAAATGGAAAAATGCAAAAGTTGTTCCAATTTTGAAGCCGGATAAAAATCCAGCTGAAGCTTCTAGCTACCGTCCAATAAGTTTGCTTTCTTCAATAAGTAAACTTTTTGAAAAGATAATTTTAAATAGAATGATGCTTCACATCAATACGAACTCAATTTTTGCAGATGAGCAGTTTGGATTTCGCCATGGGCATTCAACTACTCATCAACTCTTAAGAGTTACCAATTTAATTCGGTCAAACAAATCTGAAGGCCACTCAAATGGAGTTGCTCTTCTAGACATAGAAAAACCATTCGACAGTGTTTGGCATGAAGGTTTGATTTCTAAATTGAAAAAGTTTAATTGTCCACTTTATATCATGAAATTACTTCAAAGTTATTTAACTGACAGAGCTCTGCAGGTAAATTATCAAAATTCCAAATCTAATCGACTACCTGTTAGAGCAGGAGTTCCTCAGGGTAGCATTCTTGGGCCTATATTGTATAACATTTTCACTTTGGACCTCCCTGATTTTCCTCAGGGTTGCCACAAATCTTTGTTCGCTGATGACACAGGCATTTCCGCTAAAGGAAGAAGTCTTCGTGTTATTTGCAGCACACTGCAGAAAAGTTTAGATATTTTCTCTTCTTATTTACAAAAATGGAAGATTTCTCCCAACGCTTCCAAAACTCAACTTATAATATTTCCACACAAGCCTAGAGCTTCGTTTTTGAAACCTAGTAGTAGTCACATAGTCACTATGAACGGAGTTCCAATTTCCTGGTCAAACCAAGTGAAATATCTTGAATTAGAACTTGACCTAAAATTAACTTTTAAATATCACATTGAATGCATCCAAGCCAAATGTAACTATTATGTACAATGTTTGTATCCTCTTATAAAAAGGAAATCTAAACATTGCCTGACGAATAAACTTCTAATGTGCAAACAAGTTTTTAGACTGGCCAAGCTCTATGTTGGGCCAATTTGGTCTAGTTGTTCCACTACCAAGAAAAAAGCACTTCAAAGGATTCAACATAAAGTTCTGAAGATGATTTTGAAGTTGCCTCCCTGGTACAGTTATACCGAGTTATATAGAATTTCGAATGTTGTGACTTTAGTGCTGGAATAAAGACGTAGCAGATTTGGAAAACAATGACTTCTTTCGATGTTTTCTAGAAATTCAAGGCTCTTCAACGCAAATCAACATCACCTTCGGATAGAGGAAGACTTACCCTACCCAACGGTTATGTTGGTTTACGCAGGCTTGCCTTGAATTCCTAGAAATCATCGAGAAAAGCCTTTGTTTACAAAAGCTGTTACGCCTTAATTCCAGCTCTATCTAAAAATGTCCAACAAAATACTAAATGTTGCAGGCAAAAATCGTTGTAATCCTCAATCAGAACGATGAGTTCCATTTAAATTTAGATAATATTTAGATTTAGTTTTTAAATTTAAGATGACCATTGATGTACTGAAATGCTTCTCATTGAGACCAAACTACAGAAGGTGCCTCGCTCATAAATCTGGAAGCCTAGATAGGGAATCTCCTTTTAAGAATAAGATCAATTATCTAGAATTTGGATTCGCCTTGAAACCCTGACCTCGTCCCAAACGTCGATTAGAATTTTTCCTGAATTCCACATAGCTCTCCACACCTGTCCCCTATAGGTATAAAGTATGTATCTCAAATCCACCGAAAAAATCAAGTAGATATGGTTCATTAATTCAACGGACCCACTCCCGGAATATCCTGCAATCTCCTCGAGAACCTATACATCTCCTTAGCCAATCCTCTGAATTTTCACTAGATGACTGCTGGGCATGCTTTCGGGAGAGGGAACTGGATCTATATCTTCGAAGATTTTCATAGCCCTTGGGACAAAGTTCCTCGCTGGTAGGTCTATCGCAAAAGTTTCATCTACCTTCTTCCAAGTGCCCTGAACATCACCTCATCAAAAATTTCGTAACTTTGAAACTCAGCGAAGCAATTACGATTAAAGCATGCAATAATAACGTGATTTGGTTGACTTGTACTTATTCACCAAAATGAATTATCCCATAAATATAGAATTACCATCTGGACCGATTATTCAAAACTAGATGGAATGTAATCAATCAATCGTCAGAACATCGTCTGCAGAATTTCGTTGAGGCTACCAGATTGAGACTCGCACTGATCAATGGGACTCGGAATGACCTAATTTCAAAAGAAAAAAAAAACATAGCACAATAAGAAAAGCAAAGCATCTCCTTACATTGCAGGGTGAAGATGAACGACAGTATCGCTCTCCGCTGATGCATGTTTCTTCGAAGGTTGAGTAGGAAAAGTTTTAATGTGCTGCTTCAATTATCCTCGAATCGATTTTTCCTCTTCCCTTTCTCTATCACGTCACAGACACACGAATAGCAGCAGCAGCCGTAGTAACCTTCCGCAATTCGCTGTAATCACTTCTTCATCTAACACCACTCCATGGCACACCGGATTGGAGCCTAGCCTATCTACAACTGCCGAGGACACATCGTCACCCACTCGCTCATGGCACAAACAATGCTATTATTTTCGCTCAAGCTAAATCAATGCTCGAACATATCACCAGCAGCACCAACGGAACCGTAATGGCAGCAATGGAACTTTCATTTCCTCTCCAATTGCTAATAGGGACGTAAACAAACGGATATATCTCTTCACCGAGCGGGCACTGGGTTCTTCTCCAGAATGTGGCCGACCAGCAATTATGATATTTTCACTTAATTAGTTTCGAACTTCTTTGCGGTTTCCGTGCAATTGCACCACACGATCCGACCGAGATTTTCCCGAGGAAAAAAAAACCACTCCTCTTATGAACAGCTTAATCCTTTTATTACGATTATATGGTTGGTTTTTGCCTCTCCGGGGCTTCCCGTTTCCTATCGCCCCCACCCGATGCTGCTGCTGCTGCGGTGGTGAAAACTGGATTGCGATTTTCCCACTAGTTTTCGCGTTATCATTTTCCACGAACGCTCGAACATTAAACCCTCCCCCTCACTGACTGCCACCCTGCGAGTACCAGTATTAATCTGCCTCGATGGGGTGTGGTGGGTTCACGGTCGTCGCGGTTGCTTCCACTCGAACAGATCAACACGCACCGCGTCAACGACAATCGATTGGGGACCACCCCCGAAACAAACCCGCAATCACTATCAGTAGGAACGCACTATTTACGTCACTCAGACACGGAAAAACACAGCTGAAAATTGTGACAACTTTCTGATCTGAAATCTGAACGCTTCGGGATTCGTGGGGACACGCGCGGCGATGTTGTCCCTTCGATTTTCAGCCTGACCTCGTCCGAGTCGTAGTATTAACTGACAGCCGAGTCGCGGCACGGGCGGCCTGAATCCTGAATTCGTCCTCATCGCATCGCATCAAGCATGTGCATTATCTCTTTAGCCAGCACCGCTCTCCGATCATCGCTCACCGCTTCTCCGCTGACGATGATGATGATGATGGAACAGCATCCCTTGATGACGCCGTCATCGTCACCATCGTAGTAGCATGATTCGGTGATGAGCTTTTCCGATGATGCTGAGAGCTTCTCCGACGGAGAGCAGAGGAGTCTGCGCTGCGATATGCTCTCATGAGAGTCAATTGCAAATTGTCGGGTGGTAAACTGTGATAAAATCTCGCGCTGAGCAGGTTGGAGCAGAATTGGAGTAAGCGATTGTCCTTGCTATCTCCGGTCCTTATTGTGAGCATTGTTCTGTGGATGCCTAAGTGTTATACTGCAGGTTGTTTGAAGGGGGATGGAGTTTCAGGGTTGTGATTGACCTGCAATTTGACACTTGGGGTGAGGGAAGTGGCATGGCTCGGAGGAAAAATGAACGTTATGCTTACGCTGTTCCGGTTGGTGGTTTTGAACAAGGGCAGTAGTGTTCATTTTTGGTAGCGAATTAATGGACCTTTAGAATTGGGGGGAAAATGTAATAGTAGCAATATGTTGGGAACTTCTTTTTTATTTATTTATTTGTATTGATTCTCAAAAGCTTAAGACAATCGTCGAGCTAAAACGTGGTTTACTAATTGCAAAGCTTTCTTAATTTTTAAGACAATATGCAAACAGTGTTTCACAGGTTAAAATACTCAAAGCCACAAATATTTTAACAGTGTCACTGGAAGATTTGACTCTCACATAAATCTTCATCAAAAACTCATTCATTTTTAAGTCAATGACAAAGATTCACCTGGTATCAAAACATTTAATTTCATACAATCTCTTTGACATTTCTAAACTGAGAAAACTGTTCCTACCATTTTCATAAGCTGCGTCGTATGATCGTATGAAAATATGATTTCGACACAGTTTCATCACAATCTTACGTTTTCTTACTGCATCTATTTTTTTTTTTTTTCCTTTGGTTTGTTTTTTCCGTCGATCTTGTTTTCCGTGCTGAGCACCAATGCTACCGACGTGCCAGGAAGGCAGCTCCCACACCAGGACCCTACCTATCGACCCATCAACTCATGAACCGGGGACCAACGGCTTTACTTCCCATCCGAAGGAAGGCGTGATCAGAGATGTTATGCCTCAGAACATCCCGGCGGCACCGACTGGGATTGAACCCAGGCCTACTGGAGTGAGAGGTAATCACGCTTACCACTACACCACCGGCGCCGTTGTACTGCATCTATAGTATTTATAGTTTGATACAATAAAAGGTTTACGAAAACCATGTGAATTTCATAAATAGGGGAATTTACGTATTCTCGTCAATCTAAGCAGCGTCCGAACTTCTTTTAGCGATTTTTCAGCGTCACACACATACATGACAGGTTTGTTTGTTGACATTTATCTGCTGCTTGCTGTTCTACCAATTACAACCGACAGAATTGATCAAAACGGGTTGAACATGTTTTTACAACGCTCCAAACTTCTCAGGTGAGAGTGACTATTGTCGGCAGTCTCTTTTTCTTCGGCACTCTTTCCATTTGAACTGCGTGTTAACCAGCTGTTCTATTATCGGCAACTCGAAATCAACCGTATTTTGTAGTATGTATATTTCATTTAAAGAAAAATATGGTATAACAGGAATTCACAGTCGTAAAAATGTAATCAGATTGAAGCTGAAAAGGTAAGGAATCAGCTTAACACATTCAGCGAAGAGTTTTGATGGGAAAATACAGTGAAATATACGTTTCAATTTCGGTTGCCGAAAACAGTCAATGGGTGCCGAAGCCATAATTTACCCTACATCGTATGATTTACACTGACCCAAATTATGGCAAAAAATCATAAATCGATCGAATGAACGGTATGAGGTCGGTAAGAAATCACAATGAAAAGAATACAATATGGCGAATCCAGTTTCGCGACACTGTACAAGGCTGCGAAAACCTTTAAGATTCAATCACCAGTTTTTCATTGTCACTGCTTTACAAATTAACACATTAACAGCACGCCGAACAAAGCAAACTAATCGTTAAAGCGTCAGATTCCACTGTTTATGTTTTTAAAATTTAATAAAGGCTGACTAAAAGTAAATTGGAACACCCCTCGCGTGCCGCTTGCACGCCTCTAGTGTTGGGAATCAAACATCTTTGATAGTGGTTTGTTTACACTTCTATAGAGAACAACTGGTGCAAGTTTGATCAAAGTAGTCGATCGCGTTCAGAAATAACGTCAAATGGAACTGGAAAGAAGAAAAAAAAAATGTGCACAAACACCTGGAAAATCCGGAGTGGTCCGGTTCCAAGCTGGTTAAAGTGCTGAAGATGCCGAAAACAACAGTTTGTCGAGTGTGTGTGTGTGTGTGTCATCCTCTATCCCTCACCCAGCCGGGGGCGTTGGACAAGTAGAACTGCGAATAATTTGATCAAATCTCATGCTCCGTAATGGTGCCCTTTATGTTTTGAAGACTAGTACTTCAAAAAGGGTAACTTTTGAGGCAAGACAGGGTGTCCTCAACAAGTTAAGGGAACAGGATGCACTAGATGGCCACAACAGGTACAGCAAAACATCACATAGACGCCCTTATTCACACTAACTACTCAGGGGATAGAAGGTCAAGAAGAGCCATCGCCGCCAACTAAAGCTTGAACCGGGTACCTGGGACTCCCACGATATACCCGCGGCAATGGTCAGCAGACGATGCCCTGTGCGTATTTAGTATGTAATATGTTTTATTTGGATACACAAAATGTTTGAAGCCATGCGTCATCTAAACCATAATTTGCATCACCACAAATACACTTGTCAACATTCTTCAACTGGAACGTACTCACCAAATCACTTCACCCGGGAGCGCATTCCCGATGCTTCCACGCATATTTTTTCTCTCCACTCCAACCACACAACAACCAAATATCACTTTTCTTTTACTTTTCTTTTTCAAGACACTCCGTGCACAAAAGCAATTCACATCGCAAAACCCTAACAATAGATCAGCGCCGTTCTCATCACCGCGTAAATAAACAGAAATTAAAATTTTCACTCGCGATGCCACAATTTTTTTGTCCGGGAGAAACAATCAAACCACGCAGCGCCAAATCTTCTGATGCTTGCAATTTTTACCGCAAACAACAGTTTGTCGAGTGCTCAAAACCTACAAGGAATCAGCGGTCCTACGAAAAACTGGAACCAGGGACCGTCAGCTGCGCAACAAGGCGTTGATGTGAGTTAAAGTCAACCCGGGTCTTTCAATCCGAGATGTGGTCAGAAGGTACAACTCCAACTCCAACTTTCAAACGGTGCGGAACATCCTTGCCACGGAAGGATACAAGTCGTACAAAGGCAGTAAACATCCGAACCGGCACATGAAGCAGAATTCCGTGGCCAAAAAGCGTGCAAGGATCTTGTACGACCGTGTTTTGACGAAACACAAGGGATGCACTTTGATCGATGAAGAAACACACGTCAAACTCGATTTTAAGCAGCTTCCCGGTCAAAAGTTTTACATCGCGACTGGACGTGGGGATTTGCCGGGAAGATAGAAGGACTAGCCAACACCGTTAAAGAGAAGGACGCCGTCATTGCACAGTTGCAAGCCGCACTGCAAATGACCGGCATCGGCAACCCCGGGCCCGTACCCATCGCCACGACCCCCGCTCCAGTTGAAGCTCCCATGAATGCGTTCCAGGAAATGCTTAAGGCTCAAGCAGCAAACTTCGAGAAGATGATGAAGGAAGTGGTGACCGTTCTTGCCACCACGCAGCAAAGGGTGCAAGAGCTGGAAACCATTGTCAGAAGTCAGAACAACGAATCTCAGCAACCCGCTGCTCAGACACCAGTCATCGAGGTCAACACCAACCAACCAGCAAAAAGCCGCGACCAACCCCAAACTGTTCCCCCAACGATCCCTCGAACCGACTCTGAGAAAACCCCTCTTACTAGCGAATACGAGGAGGGCGAAGAAGAAGTCACCGCTGTATCTAGCGACATCTCGGCCTCACCGGAATCCGAATCGAACACGACTCTAACTCTTGATACCAGCCCCAACCAAAAACGTAACCAGAAAACCGACACTCTATTCGACAAACCCCTCCACCTCTAAAGTGGCCAAAAGACCCATCAAGCTTGTTGACCCAACTAACCGCACCCCCCCCCCCCCCCAAATTCCCCAGCTTCCAAAGTGTAAAGGGCGATGTTTAGCCGATCAACGCTCACGTCATCTGGAAGAAGGGGCAATCCGGTGGACAAAATGAAAATAACACAGCCTCTAAGTCCCCTCCACACTCTTCGGTTACCAACCACGCAATGGACACGGACTGTTCTCTAATTGTGCCAACAACACCAGCCACCACCAACCAACTAGAAACTGGTTCGCGATTGGCCTCGGATAGGCACCGTCGAACCGGAAGTTACATCCCAACCGAAATCTTCGGACCCCCCTCGGCGTCCGAGCCAACCGAATGAAAACACTTGTACCTTGGGTACTCAGGGCACCGGCAGTGCGGAAGATATACCCCAACGGGAACTGTCGGGTAACCTCTGGGACCCTTGGACGAAGATGCTTAACGCGAAGAACCCAGCACTAGCCCACAGTAGCCGGGGCCCCATCGGTGCGGACGTTTTCCCCACACCGAAACCGGCGACAACCCTCTGGCGCTGTGGTGAACCTGGACGAGGGACGGACAAGGGTGGCCTCGTCCCCCATTCCCCTTCGGACAACGCGGACAACGCCTCCACCTGCCCCTGGTGGGGATCCGTCTCATTCGGTATCGAGTTCTGCCACAGCAAGCTCGACTGGAACACATCAAAATTCCAGTTGCTACGCAATCAGCCATCACTGTTGAACCGAACGTCCCTCAACCAGCGGATCGGAGCGTGGGTACTCTACCCCC